AGAACCAAAGAACTTGCATGCATATATGCACAACCCACGGACACAGACAACAGTGTGGAGAAGGCCTGGGGGGAGATGGGGGTGAAGGAGATCAATGCGGGGGAGAAAGGGGACATCTGTAATACTTGCAACAATAAAGATAAATTAAAAAAAAAAACAAGTTTACAACACTGTTTAAGACACTTGCTTTTCTTAGTAATTTCCATGTAATTTAGGTCTTGACAAATACATATGAAGCTGTAATGAAAAGGGGAAATGGAATAAATAAGCATGAAAGCAATAGAAGCTTAAGACTTGGCTAACAGCACCAGTTCTGTGTACTGGTTGTCTGGGCTGAATGGTTTAGATCTAGTTAAAGAGGAATAGAAGGGACTTCCTGTGAGGATGGCTAAGGGATAACCAATGCAGGTTGAAGTGGCCAAGGCTTTCATTCCCTCAGAAAAACTAAATTATCTCCTCTCAGTTTGATCCCATCCTAACACCTTTGGAACTCTGCTCTAATTATTAAAGTCAACCCATTTTTTTTGCATCAAGGGAAGCTTTTATCTTTAGAAAGTCTAATGCAATTGTTTTTCAACAAGATTCCTCTTTTCCTAGATGAAGAAATTAAAAGTGAACCTGTTCAGGGTGATGGAAGGTTGGAAATCACTGGAACCTCACAATGCAACTTCTCCATCAGCTAAAAAAATGGAATATAATGGAACTTAAGTGTTCTTACCTCCTCCAAAAAAGATAAATAGGTGAGATGATGGATATGTTAAGTAACTAGATGGAGGGACTCGTTTCACAATGTACGTATATAACAATTCAGCATGATGTACACTTTAAATATCTTACATTTTGTCAATTATACCTCAATGAAGCTGAAATTTACAAACATGAATATGTCAGTTCTAATCAGTGGACCTCTAGAGCTCTAGAGGTACAGCTGGAAATTCACTGGTCTAAACATACAAAAGCAATTCTTAAATATAAATAAGAGTACGTACTGGCATTTTATCACTTAGTAGACCAAAGAGTGGTGAAGCAATGGTGTAGGAGAGTGCCAAACCCAGGAATACCAGTCCCACGTATCCAGCTGGTAAATTAAACTGTAAAAGAAATCTTGTATTAAAGTTACACGATTAAGCCATTTTTAAAATAGACATCTATTTTCCGTCTACCATTTCTTCATCTCTTGTTATCTACTATCAGTCTAATAGATAACACTCAGTCTCCTTCCTAATCTTTGTCTTCATTTTGTCAGTTTGTCAATGAATCACTTTTTCTCTATGAGGGGAAAAAAACTAACCAAAGGTAAGATGTCTGAGATTTTTTTGCTTTGTAGTGCTTGACATTAAACATATAATTTTGCTTTTATGAATCACAGGTTTTTACATGTAAATGAATGCTTTGAAAACTTTAGTGAGCATAAAAGTTACCTGGAGAAATTATTAAAAGAGGTTCTGGGGCCCTAAGCCTAGAATTTTTGATTCAAAACGTTAGGGAATTTGCATTTCTAATACGTGATAAGGTGATGCTGACTGCCCACAGACTGAGTGCACTGCTTTAAAAATCATGGATGGCATTATCCTATCCATCTCAAAGCGATAGTAATATCTAAATAATTCAATAGTATGACACATTTTAAAAGTCTTTTAAAAGCGTAAGCTACCACACAACTCTGATACTGTTACTATTACCAATATGATATAAATGCCCCTTTTTTTTTGGTTATCTAAGTTATTCTCATTTTCCTCAATTTCCTTAACTAACTTTCTTAATTAAACCCATGAAATTTACTTATGAGCTAGCCTATGTTTTAACAATGTTTATGACAAATATTAACTCATGCTAAAAATTAGTCCTGTAAAGACAGAAGCAAGACACAAAAGTCAGATATATGCTCTTCTGATATTACAACTGTGGGGAGACAAGAGCCCTCCTACCCTAAGGCTGGGCAACCATGACTGGACAGCAAACCACTGATAAGTCAGAAGGAAGATTTTAAAAACTTCATAGAAAAAAAATACATTTCTAAAGATTTCTTAAAAGATAGACATGAGTGACTCGGGTTTACCAGAGAATGGTTACAAATTTTTCCATTTTTTAGACACAACTTCTTGTGGACAGAAAAATGACTCTTAAAGAGACACATTGTTGATGTGAATGGAATGTGTCACCATAAACATAAAATATTTTTCTTATGTGTTACCTCCTGGATGCTATTCCTCTCTAAACCTTGGGCCACGCGTTAAAATTACAGTTCCCAAGTTTATTTTTTTGGGTAGTTCACACACCCGAAACTGTCTTTAGTGACTTCAAGGGGTGGTGTTTCTGGTAACTGTGCTTTTTTAATTGTAGTGCTTCACATAAAGTCAGTTGTGGGCTGCAACTGATGGATTTCTGCCTTACAGGCACATATTAATTCTCCAGTATAATTAACTACCAGGCTTGGTAATACACTTTATTGCATTGTTAATTATCGTTTTCAAAAGTATCTAAAAACAAATTTCTATAATATCAAACTTTTAAAATTCAGTATTTATTTTTCAGCACTAAAAAAATGGAGAGGCTCTGGGTTCTTTTCTCTTACCCCAGATTAATATAGCCTATAGGCATTCAATTATATGCAACAGCCTAAAAAGTATGTGGATTCAGGGAGGATCTGTTAGAGAAGGATGCCTCACATTAAATGAGCCACTGGGTACCCCAAATTCCCCACTGAAATTCAAACAAACGGAAGAAAAGTGTCCTTGTTAAGAACCAGGATGAATTGCAAGCCAGACCTATGATGACTCAAGCTTGGCCTTGGAAAGAAGGAGGCAAATGTTCGAGCCACTTAGCGAAAGGCTTCTTTCATTTACACCGAATCAGACCCTTAGTTATAGGGACATCAGAGGAAGGTACAGGCAACCTCCTTGTGCAGTTTTCACTCTGACTCCTTCTCGAAGCCACTCAGGGAACTTCCCACCCAGCAGGTCCCAAGAGCAAGCAGTAAAGTCCACTTCCTACAGTGCAGAGCTCTCTGGCCATCAGGCTACTTACCTTCTTCACAACAAAGAGAGACAGAGTGGGATCAAGGAAGCCAAAACACGCGCTGAGCGAGCTGATGATGAGGGATATGAGGGCCACCTTGGGTAAAGTGATGAGTTTCCAGAATGACTGTTTACCTGGACTAGATTCTTTGGGGTAAAATGAAAAAAGAAATTAGAGTATTTAAAATCTCTTAACTGTCATTTAACTATTTTGAAAAGTAAAATTGGGAAGGCCATAATTATCTGGTCATCAAAATAACTGCACCTCTGAGTTTGCTTAGAATTGCTTATTACCTATGTTTGCAGGAGTTATTCAGACCTACAGGCCTCATTCAGTTTTCCTAAAAATAATGTCTCAGAATCAAAAAGAATCAACCGGAATCAGTGTGAGGAGAAGAAGGGGTCATAGGTTATTGGTTATAACCTACAAGCAAGTGTGGTCTTCCCCAGATGGAATAAAGAATCTGTGAGGTTTAACTTGGTGCATGGGAAAAGCCAGATGCTTTATCAAGGAACAATGTGTGTGTGCCGAGGGGGAATCTGAGTTCATCAAAGAACACAAGACAATTTTGTTTTTTTTCTGCTGGCAAAGAAAACACTGATTGAAAAGGGTGCTACTGAATCATGTGTAAAGCACATTTGGCATTCAAGGTCAGCTGAGTGCCAACCTCCCTTTCCCCACCATTCCCTACACTACTTCACAGTTCCCAGCATCAGGCACGGTTGTTTCCAAGCCTCCATGCATATTCTATGACTCCTTTCTTGTTTCCCCTGCCAATTTTTCAAATTCTATTCACTTTGAAAGGTCTGGATCTGGCCCTAATTATTCCACAAACCTTACCTTTCTCTGGTTTTCTGCTGCACTTCAAGTCTATACCATATACTTTAGCACCTGAGCTATATTTCATTTTACAGTGTTTACTATTGTTTGATGGCTTTCCTATCTTTCAACTTATTTACTAAAGAAAATCTTTGCTGAGCCAGATACCATGCAAAATGCAGGGCAGACAAAGGCAAAGAAGACAAACTCAGACCCTGTCCTCAGGGAGAAGTGAAGAAAGGTAGGATGGAGCCAGAGGGGTACCTATTGGAGCATATGAGAGCGTTTCCTTAAAAAAAAAAAAGCAAGGAACACTCTATAGAAAAGGCTTTCTGAAAGTCATATCTAACTTGGTGCCCAAAGGCTGAGTTTGAGATGAGCAAGCAAAGAGGAGGAAAGAATGATCCAGGTATATAATGAGGGGCAGGGATACCTAGGTAGTGGGGAGAGATCATACTGCAGAAGAATGTTAGAGGTCAGATGCTGCAGGACTCTGTAAAACATGCTAAAAAACCCAAGAAATCACTAGGGATTTCAATCAAGGGGTGAGACTCTGATCTGTGGTTTAGAAGGTCTCTCTGTGGCCTCATGGAGAATGGAGGCAGAGGCATCAGTTAGGAGCCATAAGCAATGACCCAGGCGACAGGTGATAGTGGCCGAGCTTGGAGGAGGAAGGTCTTTGAGAGCCAGGACTGGCACTTGTATATCCTCATTTCTCAACAGCGTTCACCAGGGTTCATTACTCAATAAATTCTTACTTAAAAATGATCCAGTATGGAGCAAAGTACAAAAAAAGCACAAAGAGTGCTTCAACTATTGTAAGTGCTACATTTAGACTTTGTCAGAATACGAGGGATAGAGTTAAACCGTGGTGTTAGTTTCTTAATTATCAGCCAAATACTCAACCATAAGCCAAATCTGAGCACAGCCCAGGGCACTCAACGACAGGAGTGTGTAGACTAGAAAGAGGTCCTAGCACCACCTGTGGCTCAGTGCGGTAGTACCAGCAGGGAGACAAGGTGGTGTGGATTTTGATTTGCATGTTAAAGATGTTTATTAGTCACCTTAAGATATAAATTATAAAAAAATCAACTTTAACCATTTACATTCATTGTGCATATAAAAGGTAATATGGATTTACGGTATAAGACAAATTGTTGTGGCATAAATGGTTCCCTTCTCTAAATCCAAAGCGTGAAAAGGGGTTATCAAAATACTAAGAGCGTCCATGAAAACAAACATATAATGAGTTTAATTAAGCTGTTGAAGAAGCTCAAGTAAATGAAAACTTAGGGTGATACCTGCTTCAAGAGACAGAGGGCAGAATTACCTGGGGAGCTTTTCCAAGGTACTCTCTCTGCTCTCAATTCTGATATATTCTTAGAGGGACATGACTCCCCTGCTTGACAACACCTGCCACAGGAAGCTACCAATAGAGATGGGGAGGTGGTGTACCCTCAGGTGTGAGGGGCCAGAAAAAATACTGAACACTGTGGCAGTACTTATGCAGCATTTAGTCCAATGATTGAGAAAGTTCAGAAAAACTTCTCAAAAGAGGTAACACAAATTAAGTTTTGAAGGATAAATAAGGGTTGGGTAGCATGGGAGGGAGAGCTACTCCAGCTCATGTGACTCCCCTGTTGAAATCTAATAATAGTTCTTCANAAATTAAGTTTTGAAGGATAAATAAGGGTTGGGTAGCATGGGAGGGAGAGATACTCCAGCTCATGTGACTCCCCTGCTGAAATCTAATAACAGTTCTTCACNGTTGAAATCTAATAATAGTTCTTCATGGCTTTCAGGATAAAGCTCACATTTTAATTAAGGATTTTTACTAAGAGGATTGAGATGTCCATGACCGTGTTTTAGAAATATTTCTTTAGAGCAGCACAGCAGAGGGGACTTGGTGAACAGGTATAAAGAATGAGGGAAAGGGTGGGACCAAAGCTGACTCTTAGCCACCCAAAGCTAAAGCCACATTGTCCGTGGGCTTAGAAGGAGGTAAATGAGTGGAGTAGAACACAGAATTCTGCCAATGTCACCAAAATAGAAGATTTAGTTTTCGAGCTTCTATCTATAAGCCCTCCTAAACAATAATTTTAAAAAGCACTCTTTAATGGCATTATTTACAGCCTTAACATTATCAGTCTTTGAGATTTTTATACCATTCTTTCCCCCGTTAAATCTAACTAAAAGATTCTTCTGTAAATAAACAGCAAGTTTGTCAAACCACTTTGTTCATAAAAATATAGGTGGCCGGGACTTTGTTGAGTTCAAAGAAGATGCAGGGAAATTTTAATTGAGGAATAGCAAAAATGAAGAAAAATAAGTACCAAGAAATTAGGCTGGTGGCATTAGGGGGAGCTGCAAAAGATACCAAGATGTGGGGATGAGGGGAGGAAATGAGGAGAGTAGGCCTGGACTCACGGAGTAACAGATGTTGGGGCCAGTCCAGCACCTAATCACAGAAGTTCTCAATACTATGTCCTACCATTACCTAGTAAACAAAGACTTTTCTCCTTATACGGTGCGGAAAAGGGTTAACAAAACTCTTTCCCCTGCTGCATGAGAATCTGACTTGGTGACAGTTGCTTAGTTATCAACCAAGCGTTCATCTGAGATCCAAGTCAGAGCACAGCTCAGGATGCTGATCTACAGAAACCACCCTGATTGCAGTGTCACTGGTGTTAGAAAGAGGACGGGCCCTGCCATATGTTTCAGGGCGAGTGACGGTGCCTCTCTAGCAACGGTCTCTATCTCTGTCTTCTCCAGCTCCCACGTGAACTCGTGCTCTGCTCCCCTAGTAATCTCAAAAGGATAAAACGCCAGCTATGTTACTAGGCCATCTTGCTCACAATACCAATGACCTTTGCCTGGTAAATTTCACTTGTACAAAAGGAACTATAAACAAACTGTAAATACCTGGCGAGGTATTTGTGGAGACCTTGGAAGCTGTGCCCATGGAGTTGTTACAGGATAGGTTAACTCCTACGGGCATGAAGCTTTGAAGCCAGGATGCCTCGCCTTACTGCCTGCTGTGGCCTCGTGGCCTCCCACATGGGCCGTGCTGCACAGACAGCTGCAAGGACCACTGGGAAGGAAGGACGGTGTGACCCTGACCTCCTGTCTTATGTAACCTTCTAAGAAGATGGTGCCATGTGTGGTGCATTCTGAATATTTAATTAAGCGCAAGACAATCTTTGGTTGGCATTGCATATGGCGATGTTTTATGATCAGAAATTAAATATTTGCTAGTTCTAAAGTTCAGAAAATTTTCTGATATATAGAAATTTATATAAACTGATTGCCTATAGGATTTTTCTGAAAATAGAATCAGTTATTTCAGGGTGCTGCAAAAATCTACCATTGATTACATAAAACAAAAGTGAGTGTATGTTAAATTGATCTCCTACAAAGGCATACAAATACTTAAATTTAAGATTCTTAAAATGAGTAATAAATGCACTCTTACCATAATCAGGTAAAATACACATGTTGAGTGGTACCATTAGGAAAGTTATGCATCCAAGAAGAATAAAAGGCACCTCATAGCCAAAGGATTGATACAATAAGCCACCTAAAGGAGGCCCCAATACTAGTCCCAGTCCAGAAAAAATCTCAAGACTTCCCTAAAAATGAGGAAACAAAAAAAATGAGTTAATACATTTTGTTTGAAAAATTAACAAATAAAGATTTCCTGGGCACTATCTGAAAAAATTTATTCACTTCACAATTTACACACACACTCATACACACATACACACAAGCTCAAGATGGACCCCAAATTTAAACCTATATATTGAAATCATGAAAGTACTAAAAATAAAAATATGGGAGTTTTTGTTCTTTAGTTCTTATGGTAGGGAAGGTTTTCTAATTATGAGATAAAAACACAAAAAGAAAAGACTAATAAATCTGGTCACATGAAAACAGTAAAAATGATGCATGGTAAAACACATCAAAAGACAAAGAACAGAGAAAAAATACTGACAAAAGAACTAATTTTCCAAATATATCAAGAGAGTTACTACTAATCAACGAGAAAAAAAGAGAGCAACCTACTAGGAAAATAGGGACATGCTCTTAGGCAAGTAAAAAGCAGCTCACCTTCATTCTTTAAAGAAATGAACTTTAAAGCACAATATACGTGTTTCCCTATTGCCTGTCAAACTCTCTATACTTCCAAGAATTTGAGGAAAGAAGCACCTTTGGACATTGCTGGTGAGTGACCACCAGAGGGCAATTTGGCAAATCGATCATTACAAATGCTCACAATCTCTGACCAAGAATGCCACTTCTGAAAATCAAACTTACAGGTATAGCCATAAAGATGTGACATGGTATATGTATAAGCTTATGTCTGTAGCACTATCTGCAATAGCAAAAGATGTAAACAATATATTCATCAATTTAAATAAACTAGGTTATAGTCATACATACAGTGAAGAACTATAGTCATTAAAAAGAAGCAAAGAGAAACTTTTCATATACAGATATAGAAAGATCTCCAAGATAATTTCAATGTTCGTGTAATAAGTAAGACAGAGTATGCTACCATTAGTGCAAAGAAAACGGAGGGATTCCTGCTCTCTCATGGTGGGTGTGTGTGTACATAAATACATGGAATCACTTGGGAAGAAACCTGTAATATCTGTTGCCTTCTGGGAGAGTGATGCTGGACTGGGTACCTAGACAACAGGTGTGTCTATGGGGCCTGAAGAAAAGTAAGATATAGAGTATCTTCACTATATCCTATATTTCCTTCTGTAATGTTTGAATTTTGTACCATAGAAAATTTTTTTGTTTTTTCAAAGGTAAACAAAACAGTGCTATGGAAAATATAGTTTGCTATCCCAGAATTCTTACAGAACTTACACCATTTGAAATCAATCTAGTGTAGGAGCTTTAAACACAGGCCCCTGGCTTGCACCCTAATATCCTTAGACCTCCCAGAAGACACAAAAGTAGTCCACTAATAACTTGCAATGTTTCATAAAGAATACAAGAATTCTGCATTTCATCGTGATAATGTTATCCAGATCAACTATCATGTTAGATAGCTATCTTTTGGTTGCAATTTTATATAGAAACTTCGTATGCCAATGCTGGTTTCCCCTGCTGATCAGAAAATCCAAAGGACTGCTGCATCATAGGAATTTCTTGGGCAGCACTTTTCAGAATGTTCAAAAAATACCAGCTCTTTAATTGTCAAAAAGTGGTTCCACAATCAAATTGAACTGTGGAACATTAAATAAACTCTCTCTACTATAGAATTTCTCAGAGTCTTAACACACTGATGTGAACTTGACAGCATGTGTACACTCCCAACATGTTTAGCCACAAAACCTTGTTTTACAGAGCATATCAGCAGACTAGTCTTCTGAATCCTTTCTGAGAAACATATTCCTGGGAAATGTAAACAGTATGCCTGCCACAATGGCCACCACTGCATGCCAAATGGCTATAGAATAAGGCTATCCGAAAATGAGCCTATCCAGCTATATGTATAAAATAAAAAGTGGGAAGAACTATATACACAGGAAATAGTTTATTTAACGGTCACAACTTTTCAATATAGTACTAATATGGGTAAATGAGGGAGTCCTTGGTACTAAGCTGATTAGACCCAAGGTCTAGAGGACAATTATAGGCTCTGAGGGGACATTTCGTCTTCTGTACAGACCGTGTCCTTCAGAGATGCATGGGTCCAAGGAAAGAAAGGAGAGAACTATGGGAAAGCCTGCCTGGGGTCAGGGAGGCAGCAGCCAAGAGCTGGGACAAGAATCCTGTATGTCACTAATGCCAGATGTCTTGGCACCTAGGTAATATATGAGATGCACACCAATCCGATGCTACCAGGGTCTGAGTTTCTACGGCAAAATAAGAAGGCATTCCTCAGAGAGCACAGAAACATGAATTTCAAGATGATCTCCAACACCTCTCCCATGAATCTGGGAAAAGTGAGGAAGGGCTCTAGTACAAACCGCGTATCTGGCCACTAGAGATAACTCTTTTCTAATGCAGAGGAATGCTTCAGGCAGCAGAGCCCCAATCTCAGCTAGAGAGAGACAGCAAAATACTATTAGGGAGGTATTTTAAAAAAACCAAAAAACACAAAAGCGGTAAAAAGAATATTTGGCTTGGACCACATTTACTTGTTAAACTGCCCATTCAGGGGATTCTAAGCCCAGGAAGAGACCTAAGTAAGACTGATGATACATTTATTGACAGCTGCTGGAAGTACACGCTAGGGTAAAAAGGTAACAAACACAGATTTTTAAAAAAAGAATAAAGCACGTCTAGTAGAATGGACCCCAGTGCTAACTTGGAAGGTGAAACAAGTATTTTAGCTTACACTAAAAGTAAAATAGGAAACAATTTATAAAATACATACCAGTGCTGTAGCCACATTATTTGGGAAAGTCTTTGTGAGGATAGAAAAAGAAGCAGTTATTGCTGCAGCAAAGCTTACTGCATCTGCTATTCTCACTAGAAAACACATAGCAACAAACACTGGTCCTGCCGGGACTTGGTCCAATACACTGAAAGAGAACATACAAGTCTCAAAGGCCAAGCTGGTTTCCATGCTTTTCCTTCTTAACTGTGCTCAATGAAAAGAGCAGTGCCTCACCCAGTTATTAGAACAAATCTCTTTAGAATATGAATTTTTTAAAAAGTTACTTTGTTATACTTCGAGTAGGAGAATTACCTTCTTTTTTGTGGCAACAATATGAAGCATAATGAGAGTTTAGTTGCCCTTTTCTGCTGACATAATTGGTCCCCTAAATAATACTAGATAGGCCTTTTGAAATATATAGAATCACTCTGGCAAGAACCAATATAGTAGACTTCTTTGATTCAGGACCTCCATTGCCTATGGTGGGGCTCCAACCTTCAAAAAAAGGAGTGAATACAGAAAATAGAAGATGATCCCCACAAAAAAGGGAAAATTTAAAAAACACTGAATTTGATATGGTTTTCCTTAGCTTATCTCATCATGCTCTTATCAAACTCTCATCATTCTATGTTCCCAAGACCTTGTGCAAGCTCCTCCACATTATTTGCTAGGATGCTGCTGGTTTAAAGACTCTAAGCTTAAGAACTTTCAAAGCTATTTTGCCTCTGGACTTATTTTCCCTTTTCTTCAAATAGCAATGGGGGAACCATTCTGCTCCCATGTTCAGAAGTGAGCACATGACTCAGGTCTGGCCAATCAGAGCATTCTCTTTCCCTGGCTACAGTGCCCTTGATGCAGGGATGCGTCATCACCAAAGATCAGGCCAGTGAAACTCCATTCTGCAACTCTACTAGAAGCTATTAGGAAACTGGCTGCTGGGGGCTATCTTGCTGTCACAAGGGTAGAGTTTACCCAAAAAACAAAGCACAAGAAAAGGAAAGCAAAACCAGGAACTTAAGAAAGATGTTTGATAACATTATTTTAACATATGCATCCTGATTTTCTTCAGCTGATTCTCTAGGTAAAAAATTACTTTCTTGCTAGAGCCAAAAAGTTTCTCTGACTCAGAAAAGTGAGCTAAGCTTCTGTCATTCATAGTCACAGGAGTCCTAATGAATAGATTCCATAGCCAGCTTATGGGTGATCCCCTAGGGGACTCTTTTCTTTAGACCAATGTCACTCATCCTCTTTTCTACATCACCCAAGTCACTTCATCATTAGTCAACAGGCCAAGGGCTCAACAATCAGTAGTAATGACTGATGTAAGGGATCCATTAACATTTTAAACTGAAGAAAGATTATGAAATCTGTTCAAGCACCCAAACATATCAAAACATGACTTACCCAAAGAGAATTGTAACTCCTCCTGAGACAAACATTCCTGCTACAAACATAAATTTCGCTCCAATATGTACAAGCTATAATAAATGTCAAAGAAGAGTGGTAAGCTGATGATTGCTACAAATCTATATTGACATAAATCTACTGTATCAGGAAATATACCATTTGGGAAAGATATGAACATTTATTATAACAATTCTTTAATATAATAAAAGCATACACTTCTTAAAACATGAAAGAAGTTAAAAATCAATCAACTCTAAGAATAGAACTGTCAACAGTGGCACCATTCATAAAGTATATGAATAGTGGTTATTTCTGTATTAATGGACATTCTAGACTAATACATTAGAATAACTCATTGCACAATTTTTAAAATGAAAATGTTCATATGAACTTTAATACTTACATATTTTCCAAATAACAAAGAGGCCAGCAGGTGAACCAAAGCATAACATCCAAAGATCATACCGATAACTGTATTGCTGGCACCTTTCTTTTCAGCCTTTAAAGAAATTGAAAAGGAAACAAGTTTGAAAGACAAATTATCATGAATGTAAATAATGGAGCTATTAGATCAAAGCATCATCTTCTTGTAACCTTTATCTGTACAGCAATTTCAAAATTTATTATTATAAAATAAACTGGATGGTGAAGTAAGGGAAACTATATTAAAACCTACCTAGTCTTTGACATGAAAATAGTCATGCTCATAAAGAATTGTTAGCTTGCCCGGCCCGTGGCTCAGCGGTTAAGCATCGACCTAGGATCCAGGCGATCAGGGTTCGATTCCCAGTCAGGGCACATGCTCGGGTTGCGGGCTGCAGCCGATCAATGACTCTCTCATCATTGATGTTTCTATCTCTCTCTCCCTCTCCTTTCCTCTCTCTGAAATCAATAAAGATATATTTAAAAAGAAAAGAAAAGAATTGTTAGCTTTACAATCTTGAGAAAGGAACAAAGTTGGAGGCGTCACAGGTTCTGATTTCAAAAGTAAATTTAAAAACTACAGTAATTAAAATAGTATGGTACTGGCATAAAGACAGACAGAGAGATCAATGCAGCAAAATAGAGAGCCCAGAAATAAACTCACACACATATGGTCAATTGATCTTCCTCAAGAATGCCAAGGACATGTGGTGGGGAAAAGACAGTCTCTTCAAGAAGTGGTGATGGCAAAACTGGATATCCATATGAAAAAGAATTAAATTGGACCTCTATCTTACACCATTCAGAAAATCAACTAAAACAAAAATTAAAGACGTAAGTGTAAGATCTGAAACTGTTAAACTCCTCAAAGAAAACAGGGAAGGTACTTCTTGACATTGGTGTTGGCAAGATTTTTTGAGTTTGACATCAAAAGCACAGGCAACAAAACCAAAAGTAGACAACTGAGACTACATCAAACCAAAAAGCTTTTTCAGAGCAAAAGAAAACGACTAACAAAGTGAAAAGGTAACCTACAGAATGAGAGAAAATATTTGGAAACCATCTATTAGATAAGAGATTAATATACAGAATATAAGAATCTCCCACAACTCAATAGCAACAACAAAAAACAACACCTGATTAAAAATGGCAAAGGACTTTACCATGTATATGAAAAAGTACTCAAGGTCACTAATCATCAGAAAAATGTAGATCAAAATCACAGTAAGATATCATCTCACACCTGCTAGGATGACTATTACTGAAAAAACAAAAGATAAGTGTTGGTGAGGATCTAACACAATTAGAACCCTTATACACTGTTGGTGGGGATGTAGAATAGTGTAACTAGTTTGGAAAACAGTTAGAAGGATCCTCAAACATTAAAACTAGAACTACCACATAATTCAGCAATCCGTCTTCTGGGTATATAGCCAAAAGAATCAAAAGCAGCGTCTGGAACAGATATTTGCAGCATTTTTCACAACAGCTAAGATACAGAAACAACCCAGAAGTCTATCAACAGATGAATGGATAAAGAAAATGTGGCATATCCATACGGTGGAGTATTACTCAGCCTTAAAAAAAGAAGGAAATCCTGGCATTTGCAACAACATGGATAAACCTTGAAGAAATGCTAAGTGAAGTAAACCAGACACAGGAGAAAAATATTACATGATTTCACTTACATGAGGTATCTAAAACAGTCAGAAGCAGAAAATAAAATGGTAGTTGTTAGGGGCTTCAGGAAGGGGGAAATGAGAATTATTGTTTACTGGGTATAAAGTTTTTATTAAGCAAGGTAAGCTAATGTTGCGTTGTTACCCCCCCCCACAAAAAAAAACACCCCACACAAACAAACAAAATAAGAGCACAAGGGCCATGGGGGTTCGATTCCCAGTCAGGGCACATGCCTGGGTTGCGGGCTCGATCCCCAGTTGGGGGCATGCAGGAGGCAGCTGATCAATGACTCTCTCATCATTGATGTTTCTGTCTCTCTCTCTCTCCCTCTTCTTTCCTCTCTCTGAAATCAATAAAGATATATATTTTTAAAAAAGATATATCAAATATGTGCAATTTTTTGTATATTGATTATACTTCAATAAGCATCTCTCCCCCCAAAAATTGTTAGCTTTAGCTGACAAAAAAAAAAAATCAGAATTAGAGATTATAAAAGTATAATAAAAGCAAAAAATCTTGACTGAGGAAATTTGGGCTCTACTTCATCCACAGAACTGAGCAAACAGCTGATCTTGACCTACTTCCTTTATGATATCTGTAAAATAATAGAAAAAATATATATACTGGTCTTTGCCCCTGGTTCCTGACATAGAAGTCCTAAAACCCTTGTAATTTTCTAAGTGATAAGAACACAAAGAGCATCTTTTGTTCTAATATTTGTTTTTTGACCCTGGTTCCTCACAGCAAGCTCCTAAATACTTTGAAATTTCTTGGGTGGAGAAATGTCTTTTGTTCTAATGAAGTACCTCTGGGTGGGCTCCTGGATGGAAGCTGGTCACCAGAAAGACCAAGTCATGATTAAAAGTTTGGAATCTTCAGCCTCGCCCTCCTATTCTCTAGAGAGGGGCTGGAAATGGAGTTAATGATTGATTATGCCTATGCCTCTATAAAAATCCCTAAGGTTGCATCCAGGTTGGTGAATACATGGAAGTGTTGAAAGATTAGCATACCCAGATCGGGCATGAAAGCTCTGTGCCCCTTCCCACATACCTTGCCCTACACACCTCTTCAAAGGAGAGTCGCCTGTATACTTCATCAGATCCTTTCATAATAAACCAGTAAACATAAGTATTTCCCTGAGTTCTGTGAGTCACTATGGCAAGTAATCAAATCCAAGGGGATAAGGAGGTCATGGGAACCTCCAATTTGTAGCCAAGTCAGACAGAAGTTGTGTGTAACCTAGGGACCCACTACTTGTATTGGAATGTCTAGTGGATCTGGGCCCTCAATCTGTGGGGTCTGTCAGAATCGCAGTGAATTGTAGGACACCTAGAAGGTATCACAGATAATTGCTTGGTGTAGGAAAAAACCCATACATCAGGTGTTAAAAGTGTGTGAGTGTGGCAGTGTGTGAGAGTAAAGGAGACACATACAGAAGGAAGAGTTCTTCCTACTCACTGTCACATTTACTTACAGGCTCCAACTCCATTAAAGACAAAACAACAACAACATTCTGCCAGTCAAACTCAAGAATAGGAAGTTCCTTGAGTGGGCACATGAGTCATACCAAGGGCCATTCAGTCTAGTTCTCTTTCTGATATTAATACCAACTACCTGACATTTTGGAGAAGCCAAAGTTTTCTTTCCTGACATCATCAACACAGAGAAAAAAGATGCTCCCTGTCTCCACAATGTTCTCATGAAGCACTTAAGTAGTACATATCATCCATCAATGATATCTCTTAATATTTACAGCCTATTCTATCAGCGAGTTCCTTAATTTGCGACATATGATAGCATATTTATTCTAAATCTACTTCTTTTGAACCTCAAGTGATAATATTAGTTGTGATGTACAACTGAATTCACATACAAAAAGAGAAGGTTTTAAAACTTTTTAAAACCCTGGAAATACAGTAGATCCTTACATCAGGTTCTAGCTATAGCCACTTAAAGAGTTAAAATGAGTTTAGTTTCTTTAACACAGGATTAGCAACATGGCATACTATGAAGTGTAAAGTCTTAACTACACAATTCTCTTTCCTCTCAGGCCATCAACGGTCATTTATTGAACACCCTCTTTGTCTCATTCATTGTACTGGGAACCAGCAGTGAATATTTACCATAGGAAGATCCAATTTAGATTCATCCTTTTGCCAGAGCTTCAGCTTTTTTGCAAATAACTTTACTTTTAATACATAAATGCATATGCATGCACACTCCTGCACTCCTCAAAATCCATTCTCTACAACAGCCACAATCTCATTTCTTTACCTTTTGTCCTGAACTACAATTTTAAGACAAAAACTTACACCCTGGCTTCCCATGTAAAGTTACCATCATCATCCAACCTTAAGTCCTTTTCCAAAAGTTCTTTTCATGTCAGACTATGTTTCTTTAAATACATTTCTAATAGCATATTACCACAAGAAACCAGATAAGTAGACTCTGTTATTCTCAGCTAAACTTTAGGAAGGGTACCCTTACTCTAGGAAGAGATTCCTGCCCCCCAAGGCAGTCCTTAGTAGCTGGTGGAGGGAGAGAGTGGAGAGGTTGAATCTAAAGCTTGCCCGGCCGGACATGGCTCAGCTGTTAAGCGTCGACCTAGGATCCAGGCTATCAGGGTTCGATTCCTGGTCAGGGCACATGCCCGGGTTGCGGGCTGCAGCCAATCAATGACTCTCTCATCACTGACGTTTATGTCTCTCTCTCTCCCTCTCCCTCTCCTTTCCTCTCTCTGAAATCAATAAAGATATATTTAAAAAAAATAAATAATAATAATAATAATAATAAAGCCCTCAGGATCAGCCATTCCCCTTCCATTTCTCATAACCACATGAGCTAATGGTGTGGAGACAAGAGAGATCTCATTATGAGAAATAACATTGATGACATCCTAGCAAAAGGGTGTGCTGTATGTAGACTGGAACATGAAGCTGACATTCCTACACAAAGGTCAGGTAGTCTTATGAGCTGAATTGTGTTCCTCAAACTTCATATGCTGAAGTCCAAACTCCCAATACCTCAGAATGTGACCTTATTTGGAGATAGAGCAGTTACAGGGGTAATCAAGTTAAAAGTAGGTCAGTGGGTTGGCTCTAATGCAAAATAATTTGTAACTTTATAAAAAGGGGAAATTTGGACACAGTGACACCCATGGAGGGAAGACCATGTGAAGAGACATAGCCAAGGAGAGAGACATGGAATAGGCCCTCCGTTCACAGCCCTCAGAGGGAACCAACCCTGCAGATCCCTTGATCCTGAACCTCCAGAACTGTGAGTCAATAAATTTCTGATGTGTAAGCCACCCAGTTCATGGTACTTTGTTATGACAACCCTAGCAAACTAAAACAGGTATCTCAAAGGAAGGTATTACCAAAGGAATCAATGAAAATGTAGAAAGAATTTTCATTGGCCAAGTTACATTATCCATGTTTTTTTTTTTTTGCTTAATAGTTCTAAGTATTTAATTCTGGAGTCTGGAAGGAAATAAGTAATGGTTATGGCAACTAACATTTATTGGACCCTTACTATGAGCCCGAATCCTATTAAGTGCTATTTTACATCGTATCTAAGAACAATTAAGTAAGGGTGTATTTTTTAGCCCTATTTTCTAGGTGAGGACAGATGTGCAAAGTTCCCGGTCACTGCTGCCTGACAGTTTCCATCTTGTGCACGTTCCCACATTCACTATGGAAGCAGGATGCTAACAGTATGTCCTAGAACCACACAATACAGCAGCAGCTGAGTACTGCTTTTGGAGCATGGGTCCTGCTTCACAATAGGAAAGCAAGAACAGCTATTGGAAGCAATTTCTAGTTCCCATGTAGTCCTCTTTCAGAGGAGGGTGCCAGAAAAAGGAGCAGTAGAAACAGGAATTCTGTACCAGAATTTAAGAAGGGCCCTGTTTTTCCTTTGCCTAATTAGGTCTGGCTAATAGGAAGAATGACAGAACCCACAGGAGGAGGGGCAAGTTTGGGCAGGGCATAGGTCATTGGTAAGAAATGAAAAGGAAGAGCCCACTCTTCATATCTACGACTTTTAAAGTTAGAATGCTCTCTCTACTGCCTCTGTTTTTCCTTCAGCTTTCCCTTGGGAGAGCAAAAAACTAAATAAAACGTAAGAAACACACACGCACACACGACCTGATTTTCCTTTGTTAACATTAGTTAATTTCTCTGAGTTCCAGCTCTGCCGGGAACTGGTTGGTCTATTTACTCCAGTTGTTCTGCATCTTAATTCCACAGGCTCCCAGCCATCATTATTTTTTTTCCAAAGCCAAAATCTGGTCAGGCTACTCTGTGTTGCTCACACACCTCAGATGACATCTCACTGACTAAAGTTTTGGCATGCATGGAAGGACCCTTGCTTTCTTATTCCAGCCTGCCTCCTCAGATCCTCCGCCTCCTCTCAGACCTCACTCCACCCCAGGCCCAAGCTACACCAAGTTGTCTTCTGCTCCCAAAGAACATGCAGTTTACTTTGCTAATCCTGTGACTACCTCAAGCTGTTTCCCAGAACACCCTGCCTCTGTTGTTCACCTGGAGAACTACCATTTCTCAAGAGCCACCTTAGATTTATCCGTGAAGTCCCTTTCAGTACCACCCCTTTTTGACCTTCACTCCCTGCCCCAGTCCTCACCTATGGTAAAATTAACCATTTCTTCCTCTAAAGTCTCATAACATTTTCTACTTCCTTTTCTTAAAGGATATCCAAATACTCTGCAACTTTTTAAAAAATATTTTTTCACTCTCCATGGACAGATAAGAGAGGGACATTTTCCTGATCTTTTTTCTGCCCTTGCATCCAAAGCCTACCTGGCACACTCTAGAGTAGGAAGTCCTTAAACCTCCCACTCCCATTCAGTGAACAGAACTGGACTGGGCCAGTCGCTTAACCTCGGAGTCTGTTTCTTCATCACAACAGGATGAGATTCTCACTACTCTGCCTATCTTATGGAGTAGCTGCGGAGAGCAACTGGGCCAAATGCGTGGGAAAGGACACTGGAAACAAACAGCACTGTATGCACACGAAGCTGCACTGTTCTTTAGCAGGGAGCCATTGCTATCCTCTCTTCTTGTACACAGAATGAAGTTATCATTCTACATGTTATCAAAGCAGTTCGAGGACTGAGAGGGGCCAGTGCACTGAGACTTGGGCAAAGACCACGAAGCAAAACACATGGGCATGTTATCTCCACTTAGCCAAGCCGGTACCATTCCTTTCACACTATGTCCAATCAACCTGGGTCCTCTGGGGGATTTTCACGTTGAGTCTGTGCCATTATCTATAGGCCCTAACGTCACATAAAGGGCTATGATTAGAAGGAACTAGTCAATATTAATCAGAATTCTTCCTTGGCACAAACATCGCCTCTAGATTCCACAAGAAATTCAAGTCAGAAAAGGGAATATAGTGGACCATGGTTTCCTTTACTGTCTTAACACGGATCTTTAGCAGTAACATTAAAATCTCAGTTATTCAGTGCAGCCTCTGCCCCCCTTTTTTTCCATTGCAGAAACCAAATAAAGTTCAATCAAACTACAGAGTAAACAAAAAAGGTCAATTACATTTAGGTGAATTACCTCCCAAAATGATGTTCGTTTTGACTGGATCTTCTTTTTCTGTTACAAATATTCTTTAAGAAGTCCTCTGTTTGTTGAAGTCCTATACATCATCCTTACTACATGCAGATCTTTACACTTTACATATTGTAAAATTAAATAATTCAAAACACTTTTTAAAATTAATACTTAATAAGGATATAAAAGTGTCTCACCTCCTTGGGGAAAAAGGGTCCAAGGATGGAATAGCTCATCATAGAGCCTAAGTTCATGGAAGCTGCCGAGATCAGAACTAAAAGCTGTTTTCTCGAAAGCCGGTTGGGTGTCTCTCTTGCACTTGCTGCAGGGCCATCACCTTAAATGCAAACACACTGCAGTCACAGACATGCAAATGGAACTACTGATTGAAGTACACAAATGTGACTTCTGTGCACAGACTATGACATTTACTAAACTAAGGGGTGTTTGCAGTATGGCACATGTGATCACATGCAACACAATCCTTGTACACCACTGCAATTTTGCAAGCATATCACTTTCCTTGACAGTGTTCCCTACTAGAATTTCAGTGCAGAATTTATCAAACCATCTGCTCTGTTTTGCCTTCACCATAAGGCTCATTTCTTTTGCCTCGAATAAATTCAAGAATTAAGAAACAGGGTACTGTCCAAAGAGTACTGCTGTCTGAAGCATAGATGTGATTTCTCAAGTTCCTAGCTTCATCTGCTACCTGAACTCAGAGTTTTAGGCATGTCATGTTAGCTGTTCACTAAGCATTCTAGGGCAGTGCTGCAGTTAAGTGAGGTGTAAGGAGAAAACAAACTAAAGCATTCGATTGGCAAATTAATACTTCAATGGTGTGCCCCTGGAAAGACAAGTCCCACAAATCTGTAAATTACTACTTCTTTTTTTTTACACCAATTACTGGCCTTTTGTATCGACTAATACTTATTCCAAAGGCTAGATTTTCATTTAACTTAAAGGAACCAGGTCATTACTCAGTTTCAAACATCCAGCAAATCTATCAGACATTTTAAAATTAAATGGTTTGGGGGGGAAAAAAGAAATTTAACTAAGAAAAACATGTTTGGTTTGCTGTATTTTTCACTTTGTCATTG